CATCAAGTAGGGGCGTGTCCACGAGCTCAGTGTCTCCAGTGCGTCATCAAGTAAGAGCGTGTCCAGGAGCTCAGTGTCTCCAGTGCGTCATCAAGTAAGGGTGTGTCTACGAGCTCAGTGTCTCCAGTGCGTCATCAAGTAGGGGCGTGTCCACGAGCTCAGTGTCTCCTGTGCGTCATCAAGTAGGGGCGTGTCCACGAGCTCAGTGTCTCCAGTGCGTCATCAAATAGGGGCGTGTCCAGGAGCTCAGGGGCTCCAGTGCGTCATCAAGTAGGGGCGTGTACACGAGCTCAAAGGCTCCAGTGCGTCATCAAGTAGGGGCGTGTCCACGAGCTCAGTGTCTCCAGTGCGTCATCAAGTAGGGGCGTGTCCACGAGCTCAGTGTCTCCAGTGCGTCATCAAGTAGGGGCGTGTCCACGAGCTCAGTGTCTCCAGTGCGTCATCAAGTAGGGGCGTGTCCACGAGCTCAGTGTCTCCAGTGTGTCATCAAGTAGGAGCGTGTCCACGAGCTCAGTGTCTCCAGTGCGTCATCAAGTAAGGGTGTGTCTACGAGCTCAGTGTCTCCAGTGCGTCATCAAGTAGGGGCGTGTCCACGAGCTCAGTGTCTCTAGTGCGTCATCAAGTAGGGGCGTGTCCAGGAGCTCAGGGGCTCCAGTGCGTCATCAAGTAGGAGCGTGTCCACGAGCTCAGTGTCTCCAGTGCGTCATCAAATAGGAGCGTGTCCACGAGCTCATTGTCTCCAGTGCGTCATCAAGTAGGGGCGTCTCCACGAGCTCAGTGTATCCAGTGCGTCATCAAGTAGGGGCGTGTCCACGAGTTCAGTGTCTCCACTGCGTCATCAAGTAGGGGCGTGTCCACGAGCTCAGTGTCTCCAGTGCGTCATCAAGTAGGGGCGTGTCCACGAGCTCAGTGTCTCCAGTGCGTCATCAAGTAGGAGCGTGTCCACGAGCTCAGTGTCTCCAGTGCGTCATCAAGTGAGGGTGTGTCTACAAGCTCAGTGTCTCCAGTGCGTCATCAAGTAGGGGCGTGTCCACGAGCTCAGTGTCTCTAGTGCGTCATCAAGTAGGGGCGTGTCCAGGAGCTCAGGGGCTCCAGTGCGTCATCAAGTAGGAGCGTGTCCACGAGCTCAGTGTCTCCAGTGCGTCATCAAGTAGGAGCGTGTCCACGAGCTCAGTGTCTCCAGTGCGTCATCAAGTAGGGGCGTGTCCACGAGCTCAGTGTATCCAGTGCGTCATCAAGTAGGGGCGTGTCCACGAGTTCAGTGTCTCCACTGCGTCATCAAGTAGGGGCGTGTCCACGAGCTCAGTGTCTCCAGTGCGTCATCAAGTAGGGGCGTGTCCACGAGCTCAGTGTCTCCAGTGCGTCATCAAGTAGGAGCGTGTCCACGAGCTCAGTGTCTCCAGTGCGTCATCAAGTAAGGGTGTGTCTACAAGCTCAGTGTCTCCAGTGCGTCATCAAGTAGGGGCGTGTCCACGAGCTCAGTGTCTCCAGTGCGTCATCAAGTAGGAGCGTGTCCAGGAGCTCAGTGTCTCCAGTGCGTCATCAAGTAAGGGTGTGTCTACGAGCTCAGTGTCTCCAGTGCGTCATCAAGTAGGAGCGTGTCCACGAGCTCAGTGTCTCCAGTGCGTCATCAAGTAAGGGTGTGTCTACGAGCTCAGTGTCTCCAGTGCGTCATCAAGTAGGGGCGTGTCCACGAGCTCAGGGTCTCCAGTGCGTCATCAAGTAGGGGCGTGTCCACGAGCTCAGTGTCTCCAGTGCGTCATCAAGTAGGGGCGTGTCCACGAGCTCAGTGTCTCCAGTGCGTCATCAAGTAGGGGCGTGTCCACGAGCTCATTGTCTCCAGTGCGTCATCAAGTAGGGGCGTGTCCACGAGCTCAGTGTCTCCAGTGCGTCATCAAGTAGGAGCGTGTCCAGGAGCTCAGTGTCTCCAGTGCGTCATCAAGTAGGGGCGTGTCCACGAGCTCAGTGTCTCCAGTGCGTCATCAAGTAGGGGCGTGTCCACGAGCTCAGTGTCTCCAGTGCGTCATCAAGTAGGGGCGTGTCCACGAGCTCAGTGTCTCCAGTGCGTCATCAAGTAGGGGCGTGTCCACGAGCTCAGTGTCTCCAGTGCGTCATCAAGTAGGAGCGTGTCCACGAGCTCAGTGTCTCCAGTGCGTCATCAAGTAGGGGCGTGTCCAGGAGCTCAGTGTCTCCAGTGCGTCATCAAGTAGGAGCGTGTCCACGAGCTCAGTGTCTCCAGTGCGTCATCAAGTAGGAGCGTGTCCACGAGCTCAGTGTCTCCAGTGTGTCATCAAGTAGGGGCGTGTCCACGAGCTCAGTGTCTCCAGTGCGTCATCAAGTAGGGGCGTGTCCAGGAGCTCAGTGTCTCCAGTGCGTCATCAAGTAGGAGCGTGTCCAGGAGCTCAGTGTCTCCAGTGCGTCATCAAGTAAGGGTTTGTCTACGAGCTCAGTGTCTCCAGTGCGTCATCAAGTAGGGGCGTGTCCAGGAGCTCAGTGTCTCCAGTGCGTCATCAAGTAAGGGTTTGTCTACGAGCTCAGTGTCTCCAGTGCGTCATAAAGTAGGAGCGTGTCCACGAGCTCAGTGTCTCCACTGCGTCATCAAGTAAGGGTGTGTCTACGAGCTCAGTGTCTCCAGTGCGTCATCAAGTAGGGGCGTGTCCACGAGCTCAGTTTCTCCAGTGCGTCATCAAGTAGGGGCGTGTCCACGAGCTCAGTTTCTCCAGTGCGTCATCAAGTAGGGGCGTCTCCACGAGCTCAGTGTCTCCAGTGCGTCATCAAGTAGGGGCGTGTCCACGAGCTCAGTGTCTCCAGTGCGTCATCAAGTAGGGGCGTGTCCACGAGCTCAGTGTCTCCAGTGCGTCATCAAGTAGGAGCGTGTTCACGAGCTCAGTGTCTCCAGTGCGTCATCAAGTAGGGGCGTGTCCAGGAGCTCAGTGTCTCCAGTGCGTCATCAAGTAGGAGCGTGTCCACGAGCTCAGTGTCTCCAGTGCGTCATCAAGTAGCAGCGTGTCCACGAGCTCAGTGTCTCCAGTGCGTCATCAAGTAGGGGCGTGTCCACGAGCTCAGTGTCTCCAGTGCGTCATCAAGTAGGGGCGTGTCCAGGAGCTCAGTGTCTCCAGTGCGTCATCAAGTAGGGGCGTGTCCAGGAGCTCAGTGTCTCCAGTGCGTCATCAAGTAGGGGCGTGTCCAGGAGCTCAGTGTCTCCAGTGCGTCATCAAGTAGGGGCGTGTCCACGAGCTCAGTGTCTCCAGTGCGTCATCAAGTAGGGGCGTGTCCACGAGCTCAGTGTCTCCAGTGCGTCATCAAGTAGGGGCGTGTCCACGAGCTCAGTGTCTCCAGTGCGTCATCAAGTAGGGGCGTGTCCACGAGCTCAGTGTCTCCAGTGCGTCATCAAGTAGAGGCGTGTCCACGAGCTCAGTGTCTCCAGTGCGTCATCAAGTAGGGGCGTGTCCACGAGCTCAGTGTCTCCAGTGCGTCATCAAGTAGGGGCGTGTCCACGAGCTCAGTGTCTCCAGTGTGTCATCAAGTAGGGGCGTGTCCACGAGCTCAGTGTCTCCAGTGCGTCATCAAGTAGGGGCGTGTCCACGAAATCAGTGTCTCCAGTGCGTCATCAAGTAGGGGCGTGTCCACGAGTTCAGTGTCTCCAGTGCGTCATCAAGTAGGGGCGTGTCCACGAGCTCAGTGTCTCCAGTGCGTCATCAAGTAGGGGCGTGTCCACGAGCTCAGTGTCTCCAGTGCGTCATCAAGTAAGGGTGTGTCTACGAGCTCAGTGTCTCCAGTGCGTCATCAAGTAGGGGCATGTCCACGAGCTCAGTGTCTCCAGTGCGTCATCAAGTAGGGGCGTGTCCACGAGCTCAGTGTCTCCAGTGCGTCATCAAGTAGGGGCATGTCCACGAGCTCAGTGTCTCCAGTGCGTCATCAAGTAGGGGCGTGTCCACGAGTTCAGTGTCTCCAGTGCGTCATCAAGTAGGGGCGTGTCCACGAGCTCAGTGTCTCCAGTGCGTCATCAAGTAGGGGCATGTCCACGAGCTCAGTGTCTCCAGTGCGTCATCAAGTAGGGGCGTGTCCACGAGTTCAGTGTCTCCAGTGCATCATCGAGCCCCGTTTTAGTCCCGCCCAAAAAATCCGGAAAATAGCAATGGTGAAAAACTGTTTAACGGTCTAACTAACATTAATTTTCACTTACAATATAGGCCTAATACTTGACAGTTGATGTCATAACTTCTGAAAAACTAACGTCAGCATATTGCCATTGCGACTTGCCTATGATGATGATTTAACAGCTAGGCGCGGGCATTTACTCAAGTTGGATGCATCAATGTCACATTTGCATAGGCCTACTATTTGAATTTGTGATTGATTGAGTGCCAAATTAAACAGAATGATAAAATAAAGTTATTTCCGGACAATGGCCATTTCAAACAAGCGTTTTTTGAATGATTAAATTTTGATTTCGTTTTTTCGGTCCTGGTTTTGTTCCTGTCAACATTTAGTTTGTTTCCGGTGTTTGTTCCTTGAACCGGTTCAGAGTCCTGCTTAAAAGTAAAACATTTCCAAAAATGTACTCAAGTAAATGTAACAGAGTAAATGTACTTTACCCACCTCTGCATGCACTCTTAGCATTCGGCTCCGGTCGCTTTCATATGTAAATTAAGCAAGCTTATTTCATCTATCAGATCGAAAGATCTGAAGAAAGATCACACATTTACTCGCTCATAGACCCTACCCTTGAAATAAATCAGGACAGAAGTGGTTGAAAGTGGACACAATAGATTGAACAGCAGGTGCAAATGGGAACGTGTCTCCATCATGTACTTGTGATCCAATCAACCAAAACGCATCTTAATACCTGGAGTAAACAGGGCCAAAATGTCAGTGTTGGTCTGTGGAAGCATGCATGATTGTTTGTATTCTGGTATATTCTATATGCATCTTTGTGTGTTTCAAGTCACCCTTAAATGTGTGCACAAGTTAAATGCGTACTTCCACTGTTCCCAGAGTTTCCAGAGTTTCTGAACACTCGAGAGGAGTTAGTCAAGTACCTGACCGTTGTGATATTCACAGCTTCAGCACAACATGCTGCTGTCAACTTTGGACAGGTGAGATTACACACTTTCATATCATGTGCAGGAGCATTAATAAACCAAATTAATAAAATTGCCTGTCAAAATTCTGTATAATATCTATAAGCTAAAATGTGTGAGTAAACTTTTATGTTGCAGTTTGAGTGGTATGGCTGGATCCCCAACAGTCCTTCCATCATGCGCAAGCCGCCTCCCAAACAGAAGGGCAAAGTGGACATGAAGTATATCATGGAGAGTCTGCCTGATCGTGGATGTTCCAGCTTGGCTCTAGGAACCGTTTGGGCCCTCAGTCGCTTCCAGAAGAACGAGGTTTGATATTGATTCGTCTGGATATATTTTCCACTTGAAATTGTAGCAAAAATGGCAGCAGTCTAGTCTAAATTAAAGTGAAAAAGAATTAACCTGTAACTGGCTGAGGGTACAGAGCATCAGCCTTGCCCTTTTTAATATAAGAAAATGTAGTGTTCATCAGAGGGGTCCAAGACCCTGGGGCTTTTGTTGCACTTAAACCACAAATACACAAAACAATTGAATGAATTTGAGGAGTCCTGTGAATTCAAAAAAGCTCAATATAGAGCTATAAGGCCATCTAGTGGCAAGAGTCATGAAATATCATGTTATATATTATTTTTCCACAAGAGATCAGAAAAAAAAAAAACCAATGTAAGATAATTTGAGCTGAATTACAAGGGTTATGCATGAAATTGTGTTATTTTGAATTTAAGTTGAAGAATGTGAGGAATGTGCTTAAATTACTATTTATTTATTAATTATTGACCAAATTTTAAGGTAATTTAAAGGTTAAAAAAAAATTTGGTTTAAACAAGTAGAAAAATAATTATCAAAATGAAAGAAATAAAAAGCTTTCTGGACAAAAAAAAAGTATAATTATAAGGTAAAGATGTGTTTCAAAATGTGAGTGAAGGATGAGGGGTAAAAAAAAAAAAAAAAAGGCCAAAGATGAGTAAAAAAAAATATATATATATATATATGTAGGCTCAAACGCATTTTCAATTCTTCTTATTGTTGTAGATTGTTTGCTTGCTACAGTGTGTTTTCTCCGGCACTGCCAGCGTACATGTATTTTCAGTCAGGTAGTGCAATTCATTTAACTGACCCTTCGCTAAGTCCCACATTAAAAACATCATCATGTTTGGGGTGTAACAGAAAATGTATTTATTATTTTAATGGTGTTACATATTCAAAATATTAAATATTAGGAGCTCTGATCTGTTATTGTCCAGTATAAATCATAATAATAACTGTGCTGTTCAATTTTAGTCTGCATGCAAAAAAGAGGGCAGCAAAAAACTGAGAATGAAACATCTACTAGTACACTATATATTATGTGCCACATTCACACTTTTATGTTCACAAAAATTTCTAATTCAAAACAGTGTTGAATAAGAAATCCATGCAACAAATTACATTTTACGCCATGTGCTCTGTAGTGCAATACATTTCTTCCAATCCTCACAGGCAAGCTTTTGCTCTTCTCTAATGTTAGATAATGGATGTCCTGTGTGTTTTGGATAGTTTAAAACTAAATTTTCTAAAAGTTATAGAAGAGATAATTTATCTTTTTTTCTGGAGCACGTATAACAGTGACAGTTAATTTATGTTTTGATTATCCATAATATGGTTTATGATTTGAAAATCCCCAATTCCTTTGTTAGTTTTATAAGCTTGTCTGGGTGATTGACAGTAACCAAGGGGGCGGAGCTTAGAGAAGGGTCAGTTTATCTCATAAAAAGAAAGAAAGATGTTGTTCTGCTTTCTGAAGAACTTACTTTTCCCCCAGCGGTTCTTAGGCACGTATCCAGAGATGGGCTTCACAGAGCAACCAGTGAAAGAAGCCATAAAGACTTTCCGCAAGAAACTAAAAGAGGTGACCAAAGAAATCAAGAGCCGGAATGAGGGATTAGAATTGGCTTATTGTTATTTGTCCCCAGACAAAATCCCCAACAGTGTTGCAATTTGAGAAAATATTGTGCCAGGCCTATAAATAATGTTTATGGCCAATGTGTGCTTGACATAGAAAAAGAGAAGAACAGCTCTACTTAAAATATGAAGTATTGTAAAACACAGAGCATTCAGCTTTTTGAGGCGATTTATAGAAATTGTTTTATTAACTCTTTTTGTATTTGACTCTGTTGCTGGGAAGTAAGGGATATTACTTTGTAATGCCATCTGTGCACATATGTATGTTATCTGAGGGGTTATTGTTTGGTTCACGCCAGGAAAGCAGAACAGTTTATTTGACTATATGCTTTAAAGAGCTAAACTTGTGTTATAATCCATTTATTATTGTCTTTCTTTTTTTATTCTTTTCTATATTCATAATAATTCCAATTCTTTAATCATATAAACTTGCAGATTCATATATCCATACTATGGTATTCATTTACTCATCTTTTGATTCATTTATTCATATTCTTTATTGCTCAGATGATCTATTGTTTGCAGTCTATTTTAGATAATCATTTGACTTATTTGTTTACCTTGCAGTTATATTAAGATCTTACATCTATAATGATTTTTGGCTGATTATCTTGTATACACATGCAAGATGTTTCATGAATGCTGTAAAAGGAAATGTTTTGAGATTGTGAACATCTCTGACAGCACTTCAAATGGTTGTTGCATTCGCTTTTTTCCGCTGGAAAGCTCTTATAATAAAGAAAGCTTTAATAAAATAATTGGAAATAATGTCGAGATATTGTTTTCTTTGTGATCTCATGACAACTGTTTTCTTTTTTGATTATCAAAAAATACACATTTAAAGGTTATTATTCAGGTTATATAATTTAATAGACACTTTAATGGAAATATTAAATATAAGTAATTAATATAAAATAATTAAGATGCATTAGTATACTGTAAGAATACACCTTCTTAAAAAAGTAGATTTATTTTCAATATTGACATAAGAATTGTATTAATATTATGATATTTATTTTAAAAGTACATTTTTAAATAAAAACCTTAACTGGTAGAGAATGATGCTAGCAACACCAATGTGTAGGGAGGTCAATGTGGGACAGATTTAGAATCAATATGTGGATTTGGAGTAGAATAAATAGAGCAAACAAATCCAGAACATAATGCAATGAGGCATATTCAAAGGCAGGCCTAAGATGAAAACACAGCTATCAGTCAAACCAGGCAAACACAATGAAAACAGTAACCCAAGAGATTATATCCAGTAAACAGGCACAATGGTGATAATCAGAAACATGAACAGCAGGCAATGGAATATGTTCAGTTGTGCAGTGAAACTGGGAATATTTCATAGAGTATACATGGAAATGCCATGGGTTAAATACATGAGACAAACGGCGTGGCGCAACATAACTGAAGAACATCACATAAGAAAAGCGTGGATTTTCTTTCATTTAATTTATTTCTGTTCTTTTTACAGGCCACTACATGAGCTTCAGAAATGGGTATGCCAAACAGAAACAAACTATTTATTTAAGTGCTGTCATAACCTAAAAAAGTAAAAGTAAAACAAAATACATTTACAAAATACTATTACAAACAAGGAGAAAATGTACTTTTACAAAGAATTAATAGGCACCCATCTCCTACAAGACAGTGGAATTACCCTATTTACAATTTGCCTTTTAAGAGACACAATAATAATAGAAAGTTCCCATTCATAGGTTCTCTCGACCCTGCGATCTCTCAATTCACTGTCGCTATGGGAATACCTTCGGTGTGATGAATGTGTGAAGCCCTTATACCATACAATTTGATTGGCCTATAACGCTTAGCACTGCTGCAAGAATACATCACATGTATTTCATCAGATTTTATTCCTTCAGGAAGCAGATTTTCTGTTGCCTGTAGGAAAGCGGATTTCTTGTGTTCATTGCTGCACTCCAGAGCAGAACAGGGACTTGGATCGTGTTGTTCGCAAATGGATTTGACAGAGGGGTTTGAGACAGACCCAGCCATCACCTGCCAGATCCGGTGCCTTAGGGAGATAAACGCACCAAAGCGTCTTACATTGCATTTCAAGGTACACATTTACATTCTTATCAGTTCTTGCTTTCCCTGGGAATCGAACCCATGACCTTGACGTTGCAAGCACCAACGCTCTACTGTTTGAGCTACAGGAAGGCTGTAATTCAACTAATTACACTGTTGCTAAATTGCTAAACTGTTGCTAAATTAAACATTGATTGGCCAGCCGAGAAACAAGAAGTTAAAAAGAAAGTTTGTTAGCTGAAAGATATTTACCACCTAGATCACAACCTCCTCTTCGGGGGTTGCCATTTTTTCCCGATCTCCACACTGAGGTGTCGAAATCGTGGAAGAGGCCCATGTCATATATTGTCTTCAGCCCACAGAGCTCTAACTATAGTAATATTATGGGGCTGAGACAACATGGTTATGTGACATGGTAATTAAAATCCCAGATGTTATCCACCAAGCCTCTAAAAGCTACATCGGCGCTGGTGGGTAAAGCCTATACGGCGGCAGGTCAGGCTGCAGCATGTGTGCCCACGATGTCTATACTGCAAGCATATCAGGCTGACCTGTAAAGGGACCTAGATGATAGTGAGGAAGTTAGCGATGACGCAATTCGAGAACTGCGTTACGCTACAGATTTGTCTCTTCAGGCCACCAAGGAGACGGCCTGAAGAGACATATAGGCTGCATAGATTAGGTCAGCCGGAACCGGGAACACTTCCCATAAATCCTGATGTACTCGTTACTAGAGTTGTTCCGATTCCGATACTAGTATCGGAAATGCCGCCGATACCAATAAAAATGCTGGCATCGGAATCGGCGAGTACTTCTACCCATGTACCGATCCGATACCATTTTCTTACACAATATCTAGTTATGCACGCTAGCTATGCATAACGCAGCAAATCAGAGATCAATTCTTCTTCGCTGCTCTAAACAGTGGTTGCTTGTGGCGACACAGGAAGTTGTGCTGTTGCCACAAGCAACAACTCTGTTTAGAGCAGCGAAGAAGAAAACGCGCGCGCGATAGCAGTATG